TATATATATATTCTGGGTAAATTATAACGACCTCACTGCGACCTCACTGGAATCATAGTTAATAAGGGAAATCATCCCAAAATGGCCTTAATTCAGGTCAGTGAAATATTTTAATTTACCCATATATACGTATATATATATATATATATATATGCATCAAATTTATGTAAGGATCTCCCAAAATCAGAGGCAACACAACGGTTGGAGCGCCCTGCACTGCGCCTGCGCGGCGGGCGATGCGCAGCCGGGTTTCCCTAGAGATGTACTGGGAGAACCCCCTGCAGGTGGACCTCCCAATTTGGGCTTCTAAGCTCCTGAAGCACCACCATAAGGGGGGCTTGTTGAATCCCCGGTTGGGTTTCACCAAGCTGTCACAGGAGGTTATTTGGTACTGCATTGACGCACCCATAGTAACAATAACATAGATCATAAGAGATGAAGAGATCAAACAAGATCTGATAATGATTTGGATTAGTCCAAAAAGAGACTAAACGCCGAAAATGGCAGTTTTAAGAGGGACGATGGTGATAGTTGTGGGATTTTGTTGGGTACCATATTTTTGGACAGACCCCAAACAAAACCCATTAAAAATGATGTTTGTTTTTTTTAATGGTTTTACAATATCCCATAATTTATGCATCAGTTAATGAATATCTGAGGCATACCCAGTTTTTCGCAATGTCCAATACCTGGCCATGGGAACCTGGCCATGGGTTCCCAACATACGAGTAGCCAGTGAGAAGCTAGCAATACAACAGGCTTTAGCCACTTGGTGAATATTTCAATAAGATTGGCTGCAAGATTGATTCAAAAATTGGAGGTCACAGAAATTGGACCGTGAATTTTTCGATGGGAAGCAAATATCCATGATCTAGGATGGCTTGGTCAGCAAGTAAAAATCATCCCGTTTGGGAAGATCATGAGCAAATATTTATATTTCGTATTGCTGAGATCGCCAGTAACCAAGAACAACCCAGGCTTTACCCATAAGAATGGTTGGCCAGAATGGGCATTTGGAAAGCGCAGGTCGGGGCCCGGGGTAGTTGGGAGACGTTGCAATGATTTGGGAGGTCCTTGAGCCCCCATCCAAGACATTGGGTGGTTTCTCGGCGCTTTTTGGCAACCCCATAAAAGATGCAAAAAGAAGTTGGACACCTGTATTTTGCCCTATCAACATGGCAAATTTGGGAATATATACTGTATATATATAAATACAGATTCAATTTTCGGACGCATATCATATTATTAAGTTGGTTATATAAGTTATATAAGTTATGTTATATCTATATCCACATAGAATGATATTCCATGATATATATATATACCCAATTGCATCCAAATAAAAATGGTTTGAAAGCTATCGTTTTCTCCAAGGTGCGTGCGCAGGCTGCTGGGTGCCCGCGCGGACCCACAGAGACGAGATGAGCTGAGGCGGGCTGGGAAGGCGATTTTGACGAAAAACTGTTTTTTTTTTTGGGTTTTAATTACCCTTTGGTAAACTACTGTAACATAGCTATTGAACATGGCCATTTATAGTTGATTTACCCACTGAAAATGGTGATTTTCCATGGTTATGTTAGTTTACCAGAGGGTAAGCCTTTTCACATGTTGATCTCCAAGAATTGAGCCTTAAGATTTTGAGAATTTGGACATGGAGAAACTGAAGCAAGTACTATGGGCTTCGCCAGCTTCATGGATGATCGATTCGGACCGACCTAAGATTTCAGGCGTGTATTGGTCGAAAGCGTTCAAGATCAACATCCCTTTGTTTCTAACATACATGATAGTTCAAGAATTTCATACATCAAATGCATATAGATGAATATAGATGATATTGTTTCCAAGATATATTGTGTTCAGCGTGCAAACCAGATTAAATCAATCCAGGTTCCAACAATATCTAACAAGATGACAGTCAGATTTCTTGGAATCTTCCACCAATACTGTATGATGTCTTCGGCACAAAGCATCACGATTTATGGATGGCTCAACTGCCAGCATTCGTATCTGGGGATCTAAGGGCTGCAAAATTCGCCACTTGGAAGGAACCTAAATGAACTTGTATGGGACACCTGTCCTGTTTGATCAGAAAATGCCAGAAAATTATATGTTATAGAAATTTCATGAGTAAAAAATGTACAATGACAGCAACCTACACTTCCAATACTCTTTTCCCTTCAATAGATCCATTGAAAACCATTCATCTTCCCGTTTCTCGACATTTTTGTGGCTTAATGTCTCCTCCAAGCAACCTGAGGATGCCGCGACGAGTTGGTTTCTGGGTTGAACGACTTTCGTTCTCTTTCGTTCAACGAAACATGGGCACTCTGCAGAATCTATGTTAGTTGAGTTTTTTTTTAAAACATGTTCTTCCATATTTTTCCATTGATTTCCATTACCCTCTGGTTATGACTAACATAGCCATGGGAAAATCGCCATGCTATTAATAGGTAAACCATCTATAAATGGACCATCTATACCATGGCTATGTTAGTCATAACCAGATGGTAATTCTCATGAGCTCCCAGCTGGCTGAAACTCCCAGGATGTTGCCCCTGGATGTGGCGGCGCGGCAGCGTGCGGAAGAGGTTCAAGAGGCGGCCGGGAGATGTCGACTGGGAAATCAGATACCCGGCCTGGAAAACCATAGGAAAACCATAGGAAAATGGTGGTTTAATGGGATTTAATGGGATTTAATGGCACTTACCCTCTGGTAAACTAACATAGCTATTGAAAATGGCCATTGAAATAGTGGATTTACCCATGAAAAATGGTGATTTTCTATATAGTTATGTTAGTTTACCAGAGGGTATCTGAATTATCTGAGAGATTTACCCTCTGGTAAATTTTCACATAGACCCTGAAAATCACCAATTTTTAGAGGAAACTAATCTTCCAACCCCTATCTACCAGGGTCGAACTGTTAATTTACTGGAGATTTATTTGAATTATCTGAATTATCGAAATTTCACAATTCATATTATACTAATGAATTCCCAGATATTTAGTTTCCTAGATGACTATCTGGAATTATCTGGGAATATGATCTGGACATTAATTCACAGTGGGTTGATATTACACTATATTACAGTAACATCCATTACATATGATCCCTTAAATCTCTCCAGTAAATTAACAGTTCGACCCTGGCAGATAGGGGTTGGAAGATTAGTTTCTATTAACAATTGTTTTTTTTTCAGGGTCTATGTTAATTTACCAGAGGGGTAATTATCTTATCTGGGGGTTTCCCGAAATGGGAGGTACCCCAATAGCTGGATGGTTTAGTTCATGGAAAATCATATTTTTCAACAGTTGATTTAGGGGTACCCCCATTTTAGGAAACCTCCTTCTGGGAATATAATGATTGGATTAATCAATCATCATATACATTCTATATATATATATAATATATTATATATATAAATATCATCTACAATCGTCTAATAATTATCATATATCTGGGAATATACATATTGGGGATCATGATAGGGGATGCTCACCAATCCATTAGGTGCTTTCCCCCTACAAGGTGAGGCCCCCGTTGAACCATGGATTCAATGGCCAGCCGGAAAATCCACCATCAATGGAGGTTTTTAGCTGGGAACATCATTAAATATCTCCATGGCTTGGCCATGCTAAGTATGATATTTGAAGGTTTTATGATATTTGATATTGATATTTTGGGGATTTTACATGATTTTATTATATGGATTTACGATCTAAATGGGGATCTTGTGATATGGGGATTTCACCAACTCTTAAACAGGGAGATATAAATCAAGATATCGCCGTAGCATGCCGTAGCATGCCGTAGCTATGGCAATCAACGGACTATCGCCGTAGTGTTTACTGTTCAATGAACGCGAGGGAATAACTGAGGATCTACTGGGATACAATGGGATAATCTGTTGTCGCCTTTGGGCTGCGCGTTTGGGGCCGGACAAAAAAATCAAACCCTAACGCAGAGGAAGCTATTTTTGGAGCTTAGTGCAACATTGAAATTTGGGACCTGGGGGTTTACTTGGTAGGCGTCTGTAGGGGTTGATCTTTTTGTCCATCTGCTGTCCCCTCGGTGAAACATGGGAAGTTTTCAGCATCAGAATTGGGGATACTCATCGTCTATGTGTATAGATGTCGATGGTGATATAATTGTGATAGAATTGGATGGTGTTTTTTTGGACAATAATCTATGTCTATAGAATTGGATACATACAGTATCTATATAATTGGCAATATATATATATACACTGTATATATATATATACACTGTATATATTGTATATGTAGCGATGAACCTCCAATTTTTGGGCAAAGCCATATCATCATGTCATGCTGGGTATCTATCCCATATTAAATCCCTATGATATCCTCATATCATCTCATTTCAACATTATAAATATTAATAGCTGTTAATCCCCAACAAATCATTAATCATTATCATATCAATATCATGATATAGTATTAATAGATGATATGATTAATATCAGATGATATGATAATTATGATATAATCTCACTACAACAGCATTATACCCTCTGGTTATTTAACATAGCCATGGAAAATGGCCCATTTATAGATGATTTTCCCAGCTAGAAACCTCCATTTAT